GAGGTGACCTCACGGGACGCTGGCTCTATATAAGTAAAGCAAGCACCGTGCCTGGCCGGTGCTTAGGTGACCCTCGCGTCTGAATGTAATGATTTAAAAGTCATGAGGTGACCTCACGGGCTCTATATAAATGAAGCAGACCCCATGCCTGGCCAGTGCTTAGATGACTCTCGCACTTCTATGTGACGTTCCACCGGCAGTTGGTTTTACGTAACCGGAAATAACCCGTGATTTTATCCGAACAAGGTCTGTAAACTCGGCAGTATTCTTCAAAACAGCTCACTTCTTTATAAAGAAAAAAAATTCGAGTTGTTCTGAATCTGAAGACCCTAACAATAGTTCTAAATACCGACTGAAAAATTAAGCCCATCTGAAGTTTTGCTCTACATAAAATTCACTTATATTTTGGAACTAATATTTTCTTTACTACCTTGCATAGAAATGCCTCAACACACTGGACTTAACATCGCTGGGCGTTGGCTCGTGTTGTGGCACTGGTATGTACCTGGTTGCGGGTATGGTGGCGAAAAATCTTGCCGGACCCGGTGTGATCATTAGTTTTATCATTGCAGCGGTGGCAAGCATTTTTTCCGGTAAGCAAATACACAACTCAAACAGTATATACAATTTAAAATATCGTTCATGCTGCTTTAAGGTGCCTGCTATGCGGAGTTTGGCGTACGCGTGCCACACACATCCGGTTCAGCTTATATGTACTCATATGTAGCGGTAGGCGAGTTTGTAGCGTTCATCATTGGTTGGAATATGATATTGGAATATTTAATAGGTAAGCAATGCACGAGCTTTTAATGCACATAACTTCAGGAATGCGTTTCACTTAGTTTAATATTGAATCGTTATTTTTTCTTTTTATTGTTGTGCTGTTATTAATTTCTCTAACAGGAACAAGTGCCTGTGCGTGTGCTTTAAGTTCGAGTTTCGATTCACTAACCGGCGGCGCAATAGCGAACGCGATTGGCGATACAATCGGCACCATATTCGGTAAGCATCTTCAATGTGCTTTAATTTGTACGCGTTCAATTTTATTGGCACTTAAAACTAAACGAACATTTACCATAACTACCAACTCCTATGCATCCACCACTAGGTAAGCCACCCGATTTTATAGCATTCGGCATAGCGTTGATTATGACCTGCGTACTGGCGATGGGTGCGAGTAAATCGGTGATATTCAATCACACATTGAATGCCATAAATCTGGCGACATGGGTATTTGTGATGGCAGCCGGTTTATTTTATGTTGATACCAGCACTTGGACGGAGCATCAAGGCTTCCTGCCATATGGCTGGAGTGGTGTAAGTTGCGACAAAAATAATGGCTTCTAAAAAGCAAATCCCTGCAAAAATGCAGCAATTTAATACGCTTGCGCTTTTACAACCTTTTACAGGTGTTCTCGGGTGCTGCGACTTGCTTTTATGCTTTCATCGGTTTCGATATTATAGCCACCACCGGTGAGGAGGCGCACAACCCACAGAAGAGCATACCGAAAGCTATTGTTGGCTCACTAGTGATCGTTTTGTTTGCGTATGTGAGCGTTAGTTTAGTCTTAACACTAGTTGGTAAGGCTGTTATATAATATTTGATGACTTTGTGCCGAGTGATGAAACTTCAAATTGCTTGCAGTGCCCTTCGATCACATCAACTCGGGCGCGGCGTTGGTGCAAATGTGGTCTTACGTGGGCGCACCGAAATGTCGCGCCATTGTCGCTGTGGGTGCCACCGCCGGGCTATCCGTGGCAATGTTCGGTTCCATGTTTCCAATGCCACGCGTGATTTATGCAATGGCGCAGGACGGACTCATATTCAGGTAGTGTAAACGCGCTGATACATTATACATTTGCTCCATGCTTTATTGTTGTATACGCTGCAGGCAACTCTCACAACTGTGGCAACGCACGAATGTGCCGGGTTTGGCGACCATTGGCAGCGGTATTGCAGCTGCGCTAGTTGCGCTCACGGTACGTTTGGAGATACTCGTTGAAATGATGTCCATCGGCACACTGCTCGCCTACACGCTGGTCTCCACCTGTGTGCTGGTGTTGCGCTATCAACCGCATAGCACGTCGCTGGTCGAGCTGCTGCCAGCACAGCTGCGCACACCGCTGGCGCCGGGCACGGCTACGGATCCGAGCGCTACCACCGCCGAGGTGTTGCCGTCGAACAAATTAACAATAAAACGCGTTACGCGTGGCATGTCCGATTCGGATGATTCGTTCATCGATGAGAGTCCAGAGGGCTACCTAGGACGTGATGATCAATTTCTCGTGTCCGATCGTTCGGAGAACAAATTCTATGGCAGCGTACATGGCGCGCCAACTGGTCCAACCGGCCAAGCAACCGCCTTCGATACCATGGGTCTAAATTTCGTATCGCGCAAAATACACGATTATGCGTATCTATGTCCCGGCTTCTTTCCATGGATCAATCCGGGCCAAGCCACAACGGAAAGTGGTATGTATATAATACATTTGCTTTGTTGATTTTTAGTCATGTAACTGTACTTAATAGTGTCTTAAAATCTTCACATAATCTTATGATAGCACAACATTTACTCATTGACTCTTCGAAACTGTTGCTTTTTGATTATTATCTATATTATTTTCACAAACAGGCATGTATGTCACGAAACTTGTTGGAATCATGTTCGGTCTCATATTCTTCTTGGATCTGTTTGCGGCCATTGGCTGGTCCGGTGGCCTCGCCGCATTCATTTATTTCATTTTGTTCATTGGCATATTTGTGATACTATTAATTATATCAAGACAACCACAAAATAGGTAAATAATATTATTTACTTACAATAATTTATGCCAAAACGCAGTTAAACAAAACACACGCACACACAAGCACATAACGTTTCAAATTTTTTCTGCTTATTTCATTTATCTTAGATATGCGCTCGCATTCCTAACGCCGGGACTTCCATTTATTCCAACAATTGCCATAACAGTTAATATTTATTTAATATTTAAATTAAGCATACTCACCTTAGTTAGATTCACCATCTGGATGACTTTGGGCTTCATCATGTACTTCTACTATGGCATAACGCATAGCACACTCGAACAGACGACTGATGAGATAGAACTGCATGTCGATAAGGACTATGTACGTGCGCTGGAATGAGATAAAGTGGAAAAACAAAAATGATTACTTTTCTAAACTTATTTCTTTGCAGAGTAAAAATGTTGAGGAGAAGGCCGTGTGGGATCAGCCAACGTATATGAATCAAAGCAATGAGCCTGTTTGGGCTACAAAGGATACACGCGCAAAACAGACAACAGCAACAACAAGTGAGTCTGGCACGAAGTTTGTAATACCCACTAGAAAACGTCAGATGCTCTATAAATAATATACTCGTAAATGTATATAAACGATGAGCGTGGCGAACTGAGTCTGGCTGTGTATACATATGATATGCACGCAAACTAGTGCCTCAGTTCATGAGATATCGTTCTGAAATTTTACGCACGTTCTTTTCTCCCTAAGAAGCTGCACATTTGTTCAGGGCCGCCGCCGCTTATCGCACCACTATAGCATATAGCTGCTATACAAACTGAACGTTCAAAATCAGGTTCTTATATGAAAAACTTTTTTATTTGACAATATATTTTCACGAAATTTGGTTTAGAATATTTCTTCACCATAATCTCTGAAGAAATTATTCAGTTCATACTACTATAGCATATATCTGCCATACAAACTGAACGAACAAAATTCAATTCTTGTATGGAAAACTTTTTTATTTGACAATATATTTTCACGAAATTTGGCATAGATTATTGTCTAAGACAATGCTAAAGTCTCCGCACATATTGTTCAGATCGTAGCATATAGCTGCCATACAAACTGAACGATCAAAATCAAGTTCTTATGTTCTTGTGTGGAAAACTTTTTTATTTGTGTAGTGTGTTACAGCTGCAGTGCAACCGAAGCTAACGTTTTCGCTTGTTTTTTATGAATTTAATTTTTCTATGTGCTCATTTCAGAACGTTCCAACACAAATTATTCCAAAGCAACTGTAAGCAATTCCACAAAACAACCGCAAACAAAAAATTCCACTAGTACAAGAAATACAACAGCGAATTCCACAACAGCAACAACAACAGGAAATGATGGCAAATTCACCATGTTCATCGATGAGACGCAATTCCCCACGTGGGATGATTAAAAGTAGCAGGCAAAAGTAAAAACTAAATGTATTTAATTAGAAATATTCCAACTAAACGAAAATAAAAAATAATATACAAATTGTGAATGATTTAGAAAAGGAGCAAATGCACTAGGTCTGTATTATACACGCGTAAACAATAAGGTTGAGTTTAAATAATAAAAATTATAACAAAAAAAAATATTATAATAAAAAAAATTAACTTTTGAAAATTGTTATGATATTAAAGAAATTAGTAAATAATTGAAAACAAACACATGCAATGAGTGCGTTTGCCGTTTGCGATTGTGAAATAAAGTAAAACCAATTTTTGTGATTCCTTTTTCGAGTACTTAACGCAGGAACTTTAAGTTATATAAATGTATATAGCGTGCAAGTAATTTACAAGAACAAAAAATGTTAAATTATATTAATATAGTATATACAGATATGTAAATTATATACATACAAATACATATATATATATATAGTTAAATACATAAAACATACAACTGCAAAAAACATACAATACATATACAAACAAGATTTTGTCATTAATACTACTAACATTATTATTATTGTAATTATAGTTAAAAAAATATTGAAATATACTTAAAATATGAGAATATGAGATTAAACACGCAGTAGTTATAAATTTAAATATTACATATATATGAGAAATACATAAAAAAATATTATATTTATATACTATACGTACATACATATGTACATATATAAATATACATGAAACGTACATGCATATAATATATGTATGTAAATGCAGCATTATTGCATGCAATTCTTATTAAAACTTAACTTAAAAAATATTTTTAAATTAAAAAAAATTTCTAAATTAAAAAAGACATGTGAATAATTATAGTTATAAATTTTACTAATTAAATTCATTTATTACAACAATTTACGAGCATTTTATATGCTAAGCCATGCATGTAAGCAAAAAACCAAAGCAAAAACTTATTTGTAGTTATATATAGTAAATCAATAGCGCATTGTTATGGAGCGAAAGCAAACCAATGTTGTACATACATACATACATATATACATCTTATGTAACATAAACGTGTGTAAATGCTATGCAATCGTTATACACAAAAATTACTTTTTAAATAATTAATTTTTCATACCAGTCAAATTTGAATTTATATTCTAAAATATACCTACATACATACATATGTACATACACTCTTCGATATTAAAAATATATGTACATACACGTATAGTTAAACTTTTCAATACTGGGTTTAAACAACTTTACTGTTTGTGTAAATACTTAATTTTTAACTCTCAACACATAAATATGTAAATACAACAAACATTCTATTCTTATTGTTATACTTAACGTGCTGTTGTTAAAATCTATAAAAAAAATTAAAACATTTAAATTTCTTTATTGCCATAACTATTATATTGTAATAAATATAAGTAGTTAAAATAAATATGTTTGCAAATTTAATAAGCAAATATTGTTTATTAACAAAGCAAGCAACACATACCAAAGCAAAGCATGAAAAACAAATAACAACTATGAAGAAAATAGCTGAAAACTTTAAAACAACAAATAATAGCATATTTGTAGCGTAAAAAAACAACTAATGCAAAAAAATAAATATTTAAATAAAAGCATATTAAGCGTAAAAAAACAAAAAAAAGTAAAGCCAGTTTGTTTGACCCCGAATATACCTCCTTCTTATTAATAAACAATTTAGTACATGTGCAAAAAAAATTTTTTTTTTAGTAACTATATGAAATGCTGCGTTTATGTACGCGTAAATACCGCGGCGTATGTATTTGCGGCAGTTGCTTTACGTAATCGTTCAATAAATTTATATTATTATTAATTTTAAGCCATTACTGCGCTGTATAATTTCAACATTTAAAATTTAATAATACCGTTAAAGGCTTGGCGAATGCTATATGAAAAAAATATATTTTTGTGCTAAAACGAGAAGATAATACTGAACATTTCTACCTACATAATTAATTCACACACTTTTATACTGTGCTCTTTAAAACATACATACAAATTGCTTACTAAATTATAAAATAAAATTTTTTATATTGTATAAATATAAATAATATATACGTATATGTAAGTACTTGTATTTTTTTTTTTTTTGTAATGGTTGAGGTAACAATTTCGTAGCGATCAAAGCCATTGGGTCAGCTTTGATCTATGGAATTGTGCGCCGAGACACACTTTTACTGCGTAAGTACTTATATGTACATTGAACTTTTTGTTTTCATTTACTTAACTTACATAATTAAGTAAACAAAAGCATTTTCACTGCTGCAATTAAATGTAATTATACATATTTAACATAAATTTTTTAAGCGCAATATACATATACTATGCAAGTACATTACCGTTTACTACACTCCTTTTTGTATGTATTTACTTTTACAGTTATAAAAAAATGAACACAAAAATTATTTGGTATTAAATTCATTTTGTTTAATACGAACAAAAAAATACGGAATTAATGGAAAAATTAAAATGTCACTTTGGCACTATTAATTATTTTTGAACATTTATTAGCCTTAAGTAATAGTTTATAATAAAATTTAATTACGACTTGCTAATGAACTATACAAATATACATATGTATGTATGAGTTGTACGTATATGTGTGCATATACTAAATGCACAAGTATGTACTAAGAGATAAGAAGAAGCAAAAATTTCGCCATTTTACTGTTGTTCTTGCATTTCCTTTTAAACACAAAATTTATTAACAAAAAGCAAGCGAGTTGTTGATCAACTTAGCGTAAAAAATTTATACTAATAGCAATAAAAAAATACACGCATAACTGAATGTATCAGCTGCAACAAATAACAAACGCAAACAAAAACATATCTTTTTGGGCAAAAAGCAACGGAAATCTAGTGGTCTTATGTACGTAGATAGCAAAGAAAATGTTCAAAAATTTTAAGAAAGTAGCAAACGAATTTCAACTGAACTGGAGAGATTTACAAAAAACAGTTTAAATTCACAAAGAGTAAATAAATTGCTGCACTTTACCGCAGTACGAAAGTTTGGTTTGAAAACTTTTAATAATTTTTGTGTTTTTTAACAACATTTAAATTTTTTTCTTTGGCATTAAATATTTTTTGAACAAAATTTAATGATATTTTTTTTTTTGTGACAAAATTTAATCATTTTTTTATTTTTTGACAACATTTAATAATTTTAAAATTGTGTACTGCTGCATTTGCTGCAATTTCCTACTTACATTAATTTAGAGTTGTTGTAGAGGCGCGTGCAAAGCGCAGGCATAAATATTTGTTTTGGTAATGTAGACACTAAAAACTTGTAACAGTTTAAAAGCCAATGCAGCCAATTACATATAATGATTCTAACAATAGCATGTATTATTTGGTTTTCCCGACAAACAAGCACTATATCAAACACTTAATAAAACTTACCGCAACTACACGACACTTCGCAGCGGTTTAGAATACACTTGCTGTCACGGTTAACTTACGCTGTTAAAAAAAAACTTTAGTTTTCGTGGCAGCACTGCATAATAAAATTGTACGTTTAAACTTCCTTACACATATTATTACTATTACTTAATAAACTAAATATTTCCACGCACTTCAGTTGAAATTCTAAGCATATGAAAAAGTCGAATATAATTTGTAAAGGACCGCCAACAACAGTGTGACAAATAGAAATGAAACGAAACACAAACAATACGAACCACTAAACACAGCGCAGACTAAACAGTGCAAATATCGATAAGTACACATATGAAAAGCTCCACTAATTTATTATACATTTCAAATAGCAGCTAATGAAAATTTGTTACTAATTCATAGACACAACAACAATAACAGTCGTTAGCAAAAAGTAAACCATGCACTTTTAACAATGTTGTTCTTCCATAGCAGAACAATTTGAAATGCTCTGGGATCAAAGCCGATACCACCTAAAAAACACGAAACATATAACAAATAACTAAGGAAGTATAGCTCTAACTATCTACACTTAATAAATCTAAAATTTTATTGAATTTGTTATTAAAAATCGAATACTTACAACATAAAAAAGAGCGAAAATACGCGTTTGGTAATATATAAAGTTTGCAAGTACATGCGAATTTTCCAACAATTACAAATTCAAATAATTGGAACTGAAAATTGTATTTTTCGATTTTTTATTTTTATAATAATTTAATTTTTTAACTGTATGCCCTTCTGGGACAAGCAAAAGAACTAATAGCGTTTACAAAAACTTAACGATAATCACAGTAACTAATGAAAATGCTGAATAAAGATTTCAAATAGCCATTGCATTAAGACAAAATGTCAATATATAAAAGAATAACACCTGAACGTACCACTATTGCAAGAAAACTATTTATAGTAAGAAGAATACAACTATTTTTGAAGACAAGCGTTACAAAACAAATGCAAGAAATAGTTTAGCAAAACAAAAAAAAAAGTTGTTACATAAATGAAATACAAACTGCATTACATTAATTTTAATGTTTTTCTGCTGAAATAAATGTACCTAAGTTTTTTATTAATTTCAAAAGACTGAATTATTGAAATTGTTATTGTAACGCGCAAGTTTATAATTTTAACAGCATTATTGAAACAAAAATTGTAGTTGAAATATAAATAAACTAAACCAAATTTGAAAATATTGGCAACTAAACGTAAAACAAGCTAAAAAGTGGAATCAATAAATGATATGTATGTACTATTATTGAATTATTATACTTACAAATAATAAAATAAAAAACTTAAATTAATTGAAATTTAACAAATTTTAATACTACTTATACATTGCAATTGAATTCTATTGTATTACAGTCAAAATGGAAAATTTATGCAGTTTAATGTTAAAAGCTAACGCATATATTGACTTAAAAATACATACTAACATAAAAAAATACAAATAGTTAAAAAATATTTAACAGAACAACTTATGTAACTTACCTATTTAACAACAAAAATAAAGAAGAAAAAACTACCAATAGCAAAAATATTAAGGAAATTAGTAACTTGTTATAAAATATACAAAATAAATACTCATTAAACAAGTTCTTAAACAAAAATTAAATGAAATGAGAACGTGCAACTCATTAACGTACATTTTTCTTCATTTGATTTATGTGTTTATCACTTTGAATGAGATTTAAATCATTAAATACCTAAATTACTATTTGAAAGTAAAAAGAAGTAAAAAAAACTTAAAAAAACTAAAAAAATAAATAAAAAATTTGTTTGCTAACATTAATGCTTGTTGTTTTATTTTAGCGTTTCTTTTAACTAAAGATTACAACTAAAAGTCTACAAACTCTTATATATAAATAAATCTGTTATATTGAAAGTGCTTCAATTTTCACAACAATTTTAGTTTCCATTTAACTTCCTACTTTTCATTTCCTTTTCCTAGAAATCGATATACAAACACCTATCGATATATTTTATCCACATTTGTAATTTCCTTTTTCTAAAATCGATATAAAACAACTTATCGATATATTCTCTCTACAGCATGACAGTTCTCTTACTACATGCCTTTCAAGTATATGCTTATAAGCAATAAACACAGCTCGAAAAATCATTACTTTTGCATTGTTGGAGAATTTTCGTGGATTAAAAAGCATATTATTTCTCAATTAAAGCAAGGTACAAATATAGAAATTATACGAAATGTGCGTAATAATACAATAAAATCAGTTTATATAATGAAATAATTGAAGTGTAAAGAAATACTAGTAAATAAGTTTTACAATAATACGCCCCTTTGATGAAAAAGTGAGCCTTCGTTGGCACTGAGTAACACATATTTATATACGTACTCATGTACATGCGTATCCATAGATTTTTGTATACGCTCAACGTTTGTATAGACGTGCCGGAAGATATTGATTAAAAGCATATGAAGATTACTTAAAAGGTCTTATATGTAGTACTAAATTAAATAATTATTTAGTTCCGCTTTCCTTTCATGCAGTTAAAATCATTCCCAAGACAACATGACTGACTCCAAGTATTTTACCACTACTAAGAAGGGTGAAATCTTTGAACTCAAATCCGAGTTGAACAATGACAAGAAAGAAAAGAAGAAGGAAGCGGTGAAGAAAGTATAGACATATAGCAAAACAAAAGAATATTATATATACTTAATATTTTCTATCAATATTTAAGGTCATCGCCAGCATGACGGTGGGCAAGGATGTATCTGCGCTATTTCCCGACGTCGTCAATTGCATGCAAACAGATAATTTGGAGTTGAAGAAGTTAGTATACTTGTATTTGATGAACTACGCAAAATCGCAGCCAGATATGGCAATTATGGCGGTTAATACTTTTGTGAAGGTAAATATACTATTGTATAAAAGACAGAATGTTTTTACTTTTATATTACAATGCAGGATTGTGAGGATTCTAACCCGCTCATACGCGCATTGGCTGTGCGCACCATGGGTTGCATACGTGTCGATAAAATTACCGAATATTTATGCGAGCCACTACGCAAGTGCTTAAAAGATGAAGATCCTTACGTGCGCAAAACAGCTGCTGTATGTGTCGCCAAGCTTTATGATATCTCCTCCTCAATGGTAAATGCGCAAAATATTTATTTTTTATTTGCAATATACTAATACACGCACATTAGGTTGAGGATCAAGGCTTCTTGGATCAGCTTAAGGATCTGCTCTCTGATTCAAACCCCATGGTTGTGGCTAACGCCGTTGCCGCACTAAGTGAAATCAATGAGGCCAGTCAGTCTGGCCAACCGTTGGTCGAAATGAACTCAGTAACCATAAATAAATTACTGACTGCGCTTAATGAGTGCACCGAATGGGGACAAGTATTTATACTGGACTCGCTGGCCAACTATAGTCCCAAAGATGAGCGTGAGGCTCAATCTATTTGCGAACGTATTACACCACGTTTGGCACACGCCAATGCAGCAGTGGTTTTGAGCGCTGTAAAAGTGCTAATGAAGCTGTTAGAAATGCTTTCAAATGATAGCGACTTCTGTGCAACGCTCACCAAGAAATTAGCGCCACCATTGGTAACGCTGCTCTCGTCAGAGCCTGAGGTGCAGTATGTGGCTTTACGTAACATTAATT